GCCCGGCCCGCCCCGGGATGGTGACGTCACTGCGGAGATCCGCCCGCCCCTCCCGGCTGCGAGCGCGGGCATCCCGGGACTTGTAGTCGCGGGAGCTGCAGGAGCTAGGGCCGGGATGCTTAGAGTTGGCTCGTGGGTACAACAGCATAGCCTCAGGGGAGACCTCACAACTGCAGGTCTGTCCTAGTGCCCTAGCCAAGAACAGGATGGAGGTCATGTAACCAGATTTGTATCATGTCTTCACATCTTCTCCTGGTCCCAGAGAGGAAAGATCTTAAGACAGTGTACAGTTGGACAATTATTGAGCATTTTCTCTATGTTGAAGTGTTTTAAAACAGTTCTGGGACAAGAAAGGAGGACATGAAATGTGCACGTGTATTTTCAAAGCTAGATATACCTGGAAATGCCTTTGCAATACTGTGAGTAAGGAGCTCCTTTAATACGGATGAAACAGACCGGGTCCATAGCAAAGAACAAAAACCCATGCGGACCTCGCAGGCTTAGCCTGAGTGTTTGGGAACAATTCAGCCTGCTTATGAATCCCAGTTTTTAGGAACCTCTAAATTGCTATGAACTATAGACCGATCTACAGAACTTCCACCCATTGCTTACTTGGAACGCTACAGAATGAACAGAATATATACACATCAAGCCCAAAGTTCTTTACAAGGTATGCCCAGAGCCCCATGATCAGACTTCTACCTTCTTTTAGAATTTGATGTCTTGGCACTTCTGGTATTGATAATTACACTCCAACAGTTACAGTCAGTTAACTCATCTTGTTGCTGAAACAAAATGCCCAACACTCAAAGTTAAAGGAGGAAAAGTTTGTTGTGGCTCACAGTTCATAGAGGTTTCAGTTCATAGTGGGCTGACTCTAAGGTGGGTGGCATGGCAGAGGGGCATCACAGAGGAGAAACAGCCCATAAAGGCAGAAGGCAGCAAAGTAGAGAAGAAGTGGCAGCAAGTGACAAGCACTGACCACCACAGACCTCTTTGTGTCCCTCGCAGTAGTCCATCCAAGCTACCCACCCTTAGGGCAGGTAGCATTCACACCCAGAGTAGGGCATCCTTAATCCTAGCATTGCACCAGTGAACCAGTCCCACCCAGCATCGCACACTCTAGACTCAACCACCTCCAAAAAGCTCCACCTGTGACCGCATGAGGCTTGGGAGGACATCTAGATACAAGCCTTAACAGATTCCAAACTTCTGACCTCCTACACACACTTCTTGCTCTGCTTGCATCTGATATTTTGTTTATATAATTTGATCTCCTGGAGTATCCCTGTCAGGGTCATTTCATTAGTGTGGTAGGGCTTTTAGGCAGAAAGTGATTAAAATTTGACTACAGACACTGAGGCCAAAGGAGAACTTATCAGAAGAATACAAATTGGTCTTGCATGTTCAAAAGTGGCTAAGTAACCAAATCAAGAAGACTATTGAGACTCTGTTGGTCTGCTGTCCCTATGTTCTGGCCTCAGTTTTTTCACTCACGACCATTCCTAAGGCTGCCAACAGCCTTGGGGTGTTATCCTTTAACTTCTCCCACCAGATAAGGATAAATGTTTATTCAGAACTTTGGTCTGAAAAAAATCCTAGGGAAAGCCTAGGAGCCGGACTTTGGTTGATATCTACCTCTAGGCCAATCAACCAGAGTTAGGGACTTTGTATATGTGCTGCCAAAGCGAGCACAAGAGTTAGGGACTTCGTAAGATCGAGTTACACTACCATGGTGGGAAGGTTGCTGAAAGAAGAGGGGTGCTGTTCCCAGAAGGTGGTGGTGCAGTGTCAGCAAAACAATTGGGTGACCACTCTGCCTTTCCAACATTATCTTTCCCTTCAACATTCAGCTGAACCCTCCTTCCTCAGGAAGACTTGCAGGCTTTCTAAACTGGATGATCCCCCTAATTTCTTCTATCTCTGTTACTACCCTGGGGCAAGAAATCTGCCTCCCTTTTGAGTGAGAGACTCAACTGAGGAGTGAATGGTTAAACTGCAGGGCAAAAGCACACAGTCTCTGAGAAGAGAATGGTTAAACAAGAAGTTTAGATTAGTGAGGCATATTGTGTCTGGCCCTTGTCTTCCCTTTTCCCCAGGAAAACTGCCTATCTTGAAACAGCTCCTTGCCTAAGCTGGGTTTTTTTTTTGTTTTGTTTTGCTTTTTTTCCTGCATTTTCCCTTAACACTAATATTCTAAATAAAAGCTGGAGGATTCTCGGCTTGGGGCTTCTCCTGGGAGTCTCCCTAACACTGGGTGCTCTCAGTTGAGATAGCCCTCTCGGAGACTGAACCAAGTCTTGTCTCTCTGAGTAATCATTCATTCTCTATGCCACAATGGCAGTGCAACGCTTTTGTATCTCTATCAAGCACCTAGTAGACAGCATGCTGGAGAAGGAAGCTATCATAGGAGGAATCTATGACATATACATGGTTTAAACTCTTAAAATTTTAAATGTTATTGTTACTGTTAAGATGCTTAAATCCAGGTATATCTGGAAATACAAGAACTCTGTGTGTCTGAGAAGATAGATCCACTAAATCAAACTCCTATGAGGGGCTGGGGATTTAGCTCAGTGTTTCCTCCACCTGCTTTGCAATAACAAGGACTTGAGTTCAATCCCTGGAACCACCCCCCAAAAAAGTTGGTCAAACTCCTATGAATCTCTGTCATACCAATTTGATTTCCTCTCCTCAGATGCAATGAGAGTATATTTTGCAGGGCTCAATTAGCCTGGTGACACAAGCCTATAATCCTAGCCCACTGTGGCAGGAGAACTGCAAGTTCAAGCCCATGTGGACATCATAGCAATTCAACAAGACTCTGTCTCAAAATAAACATCAAAGGGGAGTGGGAGTGGGGTGGGGCGGGATGTAGATCAGTAGCTCAGTGTCCCCTAGATTCAAGACCTAGTTTTTTTAAAAAAGTTAAAATGGGCCAGGGATTTAGTTCTGCGGTGCTGCTGCCTACCTCACAAGTGCAAGCTCCTGAGTTCGATCCCTGGTACCAAAAAAAAAAAAAAAGTAAAAACACCCAGGCGCCACATTCTTAATCTGTTTTCACACTAAATAGGTCTCAGATGTAGTCTCAAGATCAGTTGCTATGGTTTGGATGTGGTTTGTCTCCTCCAAGACTCATATTGAAATTCAGTCTTCAGTGTAAAAGTGTCAAGAGAGGGTAAGACCTGTAAGAGGTGATTAGATCATTAAAGGGATTAATGTCTTTCTCACATAATGGAACTGAATTAGTTACCACAAAAGTTGTGTCTTAGTTACTTTTTCCTTGCTGGGACAAAATACCCTACACCCACAAGTTAAATTAGGAAGGGTTTATTTTAGGTAACAATTTGTAGAGGTTTCAGTCCATAGTCAGCTGGCTCCAAGACAAAACATCACAACAGAGAGGCATTGCAGAGGAGAAACAGTCCATGGTGTGTCAAGCAGGAGGAAGCAAAGCAACGAGTTTCCTTTCCCTTTTTATTCCCTTTTCATCCTTATTATTTTTATTTTATTTTATGCAGGCTAAAAGTCTATGTAATGGTACCACCCATACCCAGGCTGGCTCTTCCCATTATCTACATGCAGAACTATGCTAAACAAATCTGTGGACTAATCTAGTTATCATACCCATCATCCAGAATCACACACCCATGATCCAGCCATCTCCCAAAAGCCCACCTATGAGCATGAGGCTTTTGGAAACATCTAGACATAAACTATAACAAGTGATTTAGTGTAAATCAAGTTCAGGATCCTCCGCTGTCTTTCTTTTTTGGGGGGTGGGGGTACCGGATTGAACTCAGGACCTTGCATTTGCAAGGCAGACACAGTACTGCTGAGCTAAATTCCCAGCTCCTCCTCAGCTCTCTTTCTTGCTTTCCCTCTCTCTCCATGTGATCTCCACAGGTGCCCACTTGCATCTTTCACTTTTCCACCATGTAGAAAGCAGCACCTGGCCTTCACCTGAAGTCAAACAGATGCTGGTGACTTCCAGGACCATGAGCTTTTAGACTTAGAACCCTGAACCAAATAAATCTATTTCTTTTTAAATTGCCCATTATCTTTTTTAATCCATTCATCACTTGATAGACACTGAGCTGCTTTCACTTTTTGGTCATTATGAATAATGTATTTTATATAGCAATGGAAAGCCAACTCAAATAACTTTGTAGTATAGTGGAGAGGATAATCTAATAGCAGTTTCTCTCGGGCCAGCAGGGGATGCTCAGATTTATCTGATTTATCTGAGGAAGTCAGCTGCATGGAAAACCTGGGGTAGTCAGAGATCTGGCTGTCTGTCACTAGGCTTACTCCTCCTTCCTTCCTTCCTTTGTTCATCTGTACATCTTTCAACTATCTACTGAGAAGATGACACTTGCTACCACTATAAATTTAGATTTGTTACTTAGTAAATCCTTTCAAGGCAGCTATCATAGGATTCCCATCAGAAGGGACATTACCGAGCAAGTCATTGCCCTCTGTGACTTAGAAACAAGTCCAACTCCAGAGGATGAAGTGCTTAGTGGTGTCTGAGAAGGCTTACTAGAAGAACAGGATTCAAAACAAAAATTTTAGAGTCAAGCTGGGGATTTAGCTCAGTGCTTCCACTGCTTGCCTTGCAAGCGCAAGGTCCTGAGTTTGATACCTGGTACAAAAAAAAAAGACTCATCAAAAGGTAAAC